GGAGGAGGGTAGAGAAAATATTGCAACAATGAATGAATGGAAACCCAAAATCTCTGTAAATGTTCATTAAAATTAATAAAATTTAATAATTTTAAAAAAAGAACATAATGCCCGTGGCTGACATTTCTTTACTCACTCATTGCCCGCCACCAATTTGAAACTGACCCTCCAGCGCTCTTCGAGGCTGGGAACAGCACAGGAGATTGTCCATCTTTCTCCCGAGTTGCCGCTAGTGGATGTGAACCTCCGGAGAGGCACAGTTTTTTAGTTAATGTGACTCAACTTCACACCTCCTTAAACCATGTGGTGTTCCTACTTTGCTCTGTTGAAACCATCAGCAGTTTCGTCTTGCTTGGATCCACAGTTGACTTTCTTGGTGCCAGCAGTCAGGCAATCAGGACACATATTGCATTGGGAAAGTCTACAGTTAGGGACCTCTCCAAATTATTGAAGAGTAATGATGTCAGTCTCAGGTCTAAGGTGCGTCTGAGTCAAGCCATAGTTTTTCCAATCACGTGCTAGGCATCTGAGAGCTGGTCAATGAGTAAGAATGACAGAAGAAGATTTGATGCCTGTGAGCCGTGGTGTTGGAGAAGAGTGCTGAACATCTCATAGGCTGCCAAGAGAACAAACACACAGGGCTTGGAGAGGGTGCAGCTGGTCGCAAAGATGACGAGACTTTGCCTCACATCCTTTGCGTATGTTGCTAGGAGGGGCTATTCCTTACAGAGGGATGTGATGCTTGGAAGAGTAGAGGGTCAGTGAAGGAGAGGAAGACCCTCGATCAGGTGAGTTACCCTACAGACTATACCATCAGAACTGTCTCTTTACCAGTTAAGCTTAAAACTTGTTAGTACAAAGATTCTCACGGGGTAATAGTTTCAGGGATTCATCCAGCATCCATGGCTCCGTGAATTCTAGATTCTAGAAGGATTTCAGGTCCTTTTCTGCCTTTTGCCCTCATGATCAGGATTCATAGTCTTTGGTAAAATGTTTCGTAATGGTAGGTGGGCCCCGTCCACTTGTGGCCTCCTGGGGAAAGAAGCAGTTGTTTATGAAGGCATTTCCAGTCACATCCCTGCTTCCGTCCTCTGTTGCTGCAGGACAATAAAGACCCAGCGTACGTCAGAGGGCTGCTTGGTTAGGGGTGATTCATCCCGTGGGGTATGGGGCGCCTCTAGATGCTGGAGACCCTCCTTGAGAGCAGGTAACTACAAAGAGAAAGCTGGCTTTTTTTTTTTTAACTGGTACAGGAGGAGATTGCCCCCTCCTTCTCCAGCAAAGCATCTGGTGGATTTGAACCACGTGCCTCTGGGATTGCAGTGCAGCGTCTTGCCACTAGGCCACCAGAGCTCCCCTAAGGCTGGCTTTTTAAAAAAGCCTCAGAAGTCTCAAATCCTAGGCAACAACTGGTTTTTCATTAGTGTTCCAGGAACGTGATCACCGGCGACCCACCCAGCGGCTGGGGTCTCTGTTTATGTGGCTTTAAAAAAAAAACAACAAAAAACGTTCTGGCTGAGGCTCAAGGGCTCTTTCTGCGACGGTGTCTGTGTGACAGTCTGGCTGGCACATTGCGTGTGACATTTGTCACCTTGGGTCTCATCTTTTTGCAGGAACTCCATGGACGTCTGTGAGTGACAGTCTGTGT